CCCCCCCCCCCCCCCCCCTTTGATATGCTGAGTTGTCACTGGAATACATGTACAGTTAAGACTTAGACGTAGAAATAGAAGAAATCTGAAAATAGAAGAAGAGAACCACAATAAATCAAAATGATGTAGGCTCCCTAGAAATTACCTTCAGGTAATCGCCAAGCCTATTCAAATTTATAAACGTATATATTGTCTGTACATGTTCTGCAAGTTATGTAGGCCTACAATGTCTATCTCTGCAATTTTTTCAAATAGTATCAAAAGTTCTTAGTATGACCCTTGTTTGGTTATGAGAAGTGCCTTCTTTTTCTATTTCAAGGCATGTTGATCGTGTCGGCCTGATTGGTATCTTTTTATTCTGGGAAGTTGTTGTTTTTTAAAATATTATTTTAATGCACAAAATACGCACAGGTGAAAAGGTTTACCACACGTAGCGTGTTGAGACTCTTAATCATACATGAAATTTTGCCTTTATTCTCTTCCACATATTGAGATAGCACTATAAGTACGTTTTTGTTATCTACCAAAGCGTGCGTCCTCATCTCGTCTACCCCCTTTCGTCAACCCCCTCCCCCATTTTCTCCCCTTTCCCACATTTCTTATCTTTGATAATTACATCGTGAGGGTTTTGGCATATCTTTCTTTTAAAAATATTCTTTCTTTACTTTTTAAAATCATAATCTTAAGAAAGCTTCAGTTTGCTGGCCATAGGTGCTGTGTATGGCTCGAAGAGGGGGGGGGGAGGCGTCTTCAAACAACCTGCTTGTGTCTGGTTGGTCGTTCAACGTTATAAACATCCTGTTGTTATTATTGTTTCTATTTAGAACTCTGCTATATATTTTGCTGTTTCTATATTTCCTTTTTTGATTAACCCCACCCCACCTCCACACACCCCTTGATTGATACGGGCATTAAGTCTAAAACATTTCATTTTTTTCACTCTATCCCACCGACCTCATCTCACCGTGTTCACCCCAATTAATTCTCTTTCTTTCCCCTGCCTACCACGTACAAAATTCTCTTCTTTTCCCTTACCTACCACGTACAAAATTCTCTTCTTTTCCCCTACCTACCACGTACAAAATTCTCTTCTTTTCCCCTACCTACCACGTACAAAATTCTCTTCTTTTCCCCTACCTACCTCGTACGGAATTCCGACGATGTACCGAAACGTTGGTAGCAAAGTGACGATACTGGAAGTCCCAGAAATGTTTCACGTTTTTGATTTTCACAGCTCAGAAATGACTTCATGAAAAGTTGGAATAATGGTCAACAGCTTTCAGTGAATTGCTCGGTGAATTATTATTTTTTATCTTCTAATTCTCGTGGAAAACTTTAAGTAAACGATATGTTTTCCCTAAAGAAGTAAAAGCTTATTTTTGTCCCACTTCATTTCAGCTGAGTGTCACATATATCGTGTAATATGTAGATTCTATTTCTGTCCAACTTTATCTTACTGCTTTGTCTTTCAAAACTGGCATCGTTTTATTTTACCTTAATTGTAAAAATGCTTTTCTTTTCTTTAAGAAGGTGACACAAACTAGGTAGTTAGGTAACCTCTGTACTGTCTCAACTGTATGCAGTAATGATCAACAATCGGTATCTGGTACATGCATTATGGTCCCTGTG